CAACCAGCACTTTGCGTTCTATGTCTCCTTACCATGTCCCTATTCCAACGGTCCAGTCGAAACCAGTCATATCCTTACTCAGTTCCTCAAAACATGGTAATCCATTCTTGGCACACTCAACATACATCAAAGACACATCATACATTCATCTCTGGGTCAGCTAACACTTCCTCTCTCCCCGGCTAACTCTACAAAAATAAAAAAATAAAAATAGTTCAAGAGTTCAGCATAGTTCAGAAAAATAGAATAAGTCTTTCAAGGAGTATAAAGAAATCAGCTAAGGGTAGCAATATGGCTGATAACAAGACAATGTCAGCTTCCACATAATTCTTAGTTCTTCTTTTGTTTGCTGGATGTTCACCACAATGCTCTGTGCAATACCCCAATTATTGAAAGGGTTATTACAGAACCAGCAGCATTAGACAGCACTGCACCTTCAGGACTTTCCAGGTTCTTGTGTACACAGTTTATGTCATCATAAGTAAGAAACTCAGTTTCTTCAGCCTGCATGGATTTTGACCAAAACAGATGTAATTACAAAATACTTGGTGCAGGATCAGCCAGAGAGTGATTGGTGAAATTAAACCCTTAAGTTGTGTATCATATACTTCTCTTAGCTTTGTTTATAATTCATGAAATGCTTGATTGGACAGGATGAGTATTAAAACACTTTCTCGAGCAAGTGATTAACTGACAAAGTCTATATATAGAATCTAAAAATATACATATGGGGATAATTCCCAATAAAACTTTGTTCCTAAACTTAAACCTTATTTGTTAATCCCAATTAATTACTTTAATAGTAGTATAAATATTTTGAGTCTTTGAGAGTTCTGACAAATGCAGGTGATACCATGTCTGTGTAATCTGGTCCAAATGTTCTATAAGCATTTAAGAGAGAAATTATATTGACAGGGTAGATATGTTGCAACTGGTTAATGCAAGTGTTATACAAATGTTTAAGTCAAACGCGTTCTATGGCCATACGGGATCCCTACTTTAAAAGAAAAAAATAAACCCTTTGGTACCAGAACTCTTAAATAAATCTGATACAAACTAAAATTGGTATACCTTACAATAATATGTTCTGAATACAGCTGTTAAAAGTTTATTCTGTGTAAATGGTGATTGTGATAAATGTGTGTTTTTGTTACTCATTTTGAAGTATGCAGTTTGATTGACAAGTGGATTAAGGGTTTTTTGCTGTGTTATTTTAAATTAAATAACTGATTTATTATTGAATACTAGTACAAGAGCATTCTGAGTTGTAGTCTTAAGAGAAAAAAATGGGGGAGGTTGTTTTTGTAAGTTTTAGCTGATTTCCAAAATTCTGTTTCAATAATGGACTTCTTGCCAAAATTCGACTTTCCTGTTCAGTTGCCAGGTTCTCTGATCTAATCTTAAAGCAATACTGCTTGCATAGTTTGCAGACATGCATAATGCACAAACATGAGAACCTATATTATGTCTGTGTTTCTTTTGAGGAACACAGAGTGTGACATTTATTAATTTATTTTGGATTGAGTTAAATGCCTGTCCATGAATATGCTTTTTGTATTGGCATGTCTGCTGGATATCTGCTACATTCGCTGTGTTCTGTGACATGTGTGATATTACAATGAGTATGAAGAATATTTAAAGAATATTTGCATGTCATTAACGCAAGCCTTTAGTATCTTTTTACAACAGATTAAATGCTGAGCAGCTCACGAAAAAGGGGCCCCTGAGAAAGAAAAAAAATCATCTGCTTTTCAAAATCGTGGATCCACGTTTCCAATTTTAAATGTCTCTCTCTCTCTCTCCATATTATTAGGGGAGTATTAAGAGATAACTCTACTTTTAAAGTGCATTGCATTATTTAAGTCAAAGAAAAAGAAAATGTTGTTATCTTTAACATAAACAATTGTTATGTTATATGGTTATATAACAAGAAAAAATAATGGATGTGTAGGATAGTTTTTTTTTCCAAGATTAAGATTCATCTAGTATGCCTCATTAATTACAGCAAAATGATGAAATGGTATTTTTAATAGAGATCAGACAATTTATTTTGAGCAATTCTAAACTACTGTATTATATTTGTATTGGTATATTGAAAGCATTTTGCAGACCCAGAAGAGATAAATAATATAATAATTATAAAAGGAACCATACTATGGGAAGAGGTCACCCTATTAAATCGCTAAGGGGTTAAACTCATTTTTGATAAGCATATAAAATTTAGTTTTTGTGGTTAGACTTTTGATACTCAATTTGAACTCAATTGAAGTATTACAACCATATCCTTGCAGGTATAGGAAACAGCTGCAATATGATTTTAATATTAGTGTTTTTAATGTATTCTGACAGCGGAAAAGTACCAAACCGCATGTCTGTATTACACCTATGACCCAGACTGTCAGTATTGCAAACCCTATATGAAGACTCTGCTTTCATTGTTTATGTATACACCCCTAGACAACCGTGCTATACATACACAATAAATCTTCAAAAGCTTATTAATATTATATCTGTGTGGTACACAAAGAGGTGTACACAAAGAGGGGTTAGAGTTAGGTAATCTCGACCTGCATATGGAATATGCTTCCTCTTTGTTCACTTTTGGTTAAACTGTTGGTCTGTGACTGGCCCTCTTTCACCCCAACTGAATTTCTTGGGAAGATTCATAAGAAAGATACAGCAGGTTGTTTTGATATAAAAAAAGAGGGAAAAGTATGTTGTATCGGTCACAAAGGATTGTGATCTTAAGCAGGCGAGACAAAGAAATTTGGGAGGTGATAGGAAATTGAATCAGAAAAGTTTCAGAGGCAGAGGTAGAGGATTTGATCAAAGGGTCTAACTTTTGTAGAGGTGGTAACTTCAGCACTGTTTTAATTGTGGATAGCAGAGATTCACCCCAAGGTGCTCGTGGTGAACCCGGTTCTCCCGGTCAAGCTGGCCCCATTGGTACTCCTGGTATTGCTGGTGCCCCTGGCCTCCCTGGTTCCCCTCGACCTAAGGTTAACAATGGTGAGCCTGGTGCTCAGGGAAACAAAGGAGAACCCGGTGCTAAGGGAGAACCTGGCCCAGCTGGCGTTCAAGGACCCACCCTGGCAGGTTCCTCAATACCAACCACAGCTTCCAACCTGTACCCACACCCAACAACCTCAGCCTAATACACAGCTGCTTCATGTTTTTAATACTTTATATATAGTTTTGAGCGATAAAATAGTATTAATGCTGGCTCTTAGAGGATGTACAAGCTGAGGTTGGGACCTAGACATTGTTTGCATAGGCTGCGCAATGTAAAATAACTAAAATAAAATAGGATAATAATAAGTTTGCTTAGTCATTTTGTAACGTGGTATCATAGAGGCATCTGCAATAAAATAAGTGGGTTTCCAAGACCTGACAAGTGAGGGCAACTTAATATAACATATGTCTATAGTTTGCTGCCCCTTCCTTATCAGAGGCCACTTGCAACCTTAACACAGCAAGACAACTCTTCCGAAACCTGTATTAAACAAAGCACTTTGGAACAATAGTAATTCATTTTGTTTCTCCTATTTCATTCCTAGTTGCTCTGAAAAAAAATATTGTTTAAGTGGAATAACTGTATGGAGGTTCCACCATGTATTAAAACATGATCACGCACATACAGAACTGGTGGCTTTTTGGACATCGGGATCTATAAAAGGTTTAGGTTTCCAAAGATGATCAGGGTCCACAAAATTTCTGACAGACTTCAGCATTCCAATTTTATTAAAGTAATTAATTGAGATTCTCAAATCAAGGTTTAAGTTTAAGAACAACATTTTATTGGGAATTATACCATAATGTATATGTTAGTGTTTTAGTACACAACAAGTATATATATAGAATGAGTGCTTCTCTCATCCATACAAAGGCATTTTAAAGGGAAATTATGTATTAAAATTTTATTAAGGACAAATTCAATGAAATATAAGCAAAACTGAGAGAAGTATATGTTACACTAGTTAAGAGTTTAACTTTAGTCTCTAATTTGAGTTTAGCCTAGATAATTAATTTATTGATGTCGTACTGATCCTTGTGTTTGTATGATTATAGAGACCGTGCTGGAGTATTTGTGCCGCCTGATATTTGGGACTACACACCAATCTCTCTGGCTTACCTACCTGCCTACCTACCTTTTTTGTAATTAAATCTGTTTGGTCAAAATCCATGCTGGCCGAAGAAACTGAGATGCTTACTTATGAGGACATAAACTAACTTGGAAAGTCCTGAAGGTGCAGTGCTGTCTAATGCTGCTATTTCTTTATTACCCTTTCAACAACTGGGGTGTTGCACAAAGTATTGTGGTGAACATCCAGCAAACAGAAGAATTAAGAACTATGTGGAAGCTGACATTGTCTTGTTGTCAGCCATATTGCTACCTTTAGCTATGTTATGGTGTCTAAGATTATGGAACAAAGTTTATGGTGTATATTTTTGTAGAGTTATCCAGAGAGAGAGGAAGTGTTAGCTTACTCAGGCATGGATGTACTATATGTATCATTGATGTATGTTGAGTGTACCAAGGATGGATTCCTATGTATTAAGTGTGGCTATGACTGGACCATCGAAATAAGAATGTGATTAAGAGGCATAGGACGCAAGGTCATGACTGGGATTATTGTTAGAATTGCAAACTGATTAAAAATTATCTCATGATTTAATATGTAAGTGGGCCTTTTCAAAGTGTTTCCCAACCCTGATACCCGTGCTATTTACTTACAAGTGCGGGTTTTATAAGTCACTAATGCTGTCATGGCCCTCACTTAGAGTTTCCCCAGATGTGCTTTTTTCCTCAAATATGAGTTTTTGCCACTGGGTTTTTTTGACCTGGCCCGAGTTCACTGGGCAGACTGGTAATCCAAGACCCTGGTCCAAAGAGGGGGAATAGATATTATTTCCATTTTGACTATATGTGTTTACGTTGTGAATTATAATAATAATATTCCCGTTGTTGGGAATAATACACTTTGCCTGTATTGACCCAAGGCTCAAGTTACAGATAACATGATGTGCAGTCTGTTTAAAATTGGTTAACATGTCAGCTGTTTGAAATATTTAACTTGTACACTTAAATGATGTATTCAACAGATAATTGAAAAAGTTGAAAATTGACAGCTCGAACTCCTCTTAAAGGGAAAACCTATGGCACAGAGCAAATGGGGGAAATCGAGGTGAAGAAATAACGAAAGTCCCGCAGACGTGATTAGCACGTCTGAATATACCTCCTTTCGTTTCTCTGCCGCAGGCCTCCCATGGATATTTTCCATAAGGTAGATCATGATATGATCTAAGAGGGTAATTGTAGATACAAATATCCATTTTGCTATCTATCCTAGCTGTTCATATAAGGGTTAATGTGAACCAAGAATAAATTTGGAATTGTATCTTCGATTCTGGGAAGAATTTATCTAATATCAGTTACGAGAATGACCATACTGATTTCGAAATGTTCTTGTTAATTGTCCAAGATTTTGGTATTTGTAAATATCTGGTTTTGATCAAATATGCATGCGTTATATAACGTAGAATTATAATAAGAAACAGCTGCTCATGACTTGTGAAAAACAATGTCATTGTCACGCCCATATGCTCATTTTTCCCCCTCCCATCCTGCTATGAAAACGGGGTATTTATATAACTGACGGATGAATAAGATTTGAATTGGTTATTGAACACGTCTCTGCTATTCGTTTGCAATTTCCAGAGCTCTGAATGAGTTGGCAAATATCCATCATCCACAAAGGGCCTGGGCTGATTTTATTCCCAACAAGGGCAAGGTGTATTCTGATAGGCAGGAACAGAAATGAGGCAGGATATAAATAGATAGTAGCAATAGGCTACTATCACTTTAAATGCACATCCTCGGACGGCCTCCCAGGGGCGCGCGCGCGACGCCAGCCAGAGATCCGCACCGTCCGGCAGGAGAGGATGGATGGCGGGACCGGGGCGGCGCGGGACACGAGGTATGACACTCATACACAATTGACATTAATACATAACACACCAAATCATTAGAAACTATAGAACTCATACTCAGCAATCATTGTAATATCACACATGTTGTCATCTCACAAAACAAAACACAACAGAGGTAGTAGATATACATAATGGATACCCAGCAGAGGTGCCAATACAAAAAACACATTCATGGACACGCAACTAAACAATAACCATCCAAAATAAGTTAACAAAATAAGTAAATAAATTGCACACTATGTGTACCTCACAAGAAACACAGTTAGGCATAATGTAGGTTCCTAGGCTTGTGATAGATTACAAAAGCAGTCTTAAACGAACACCTCCAAAACTCCATTCTCATACCTATGTATAATAAGCCTTTAAAAAAAATCATGAACATTTCTGCAAACTATTTGACTTCTATGGAAACAGACAATTAGCACTGAAGGTAGATCCCAAAACTTTGCAAATGAACAGGAAGGTTGAATAAAGCAGGAAGTCGACTATTGCAAGTGCACAGCCAATAAAACAGTTATTTAATAGGTTATTAGGCTGGCATTTCTATCTGTATCAATAGACTGAGACAAACTGATTCCAATATGTTTTAAAACAACACAGTAAATTACCAATGAATCTACTCGCTAGTTAAGCTGCACACTTCAGAATAGATATCCAAAACACACATTATCACAGTCACCAATTACACAAAATGAACTTTTAACAACTGCAGTATTCAAAACAAATTATTGTAATGTATACCAATTTTAGTTTGTATCAGATTTATTTTAGGGTTTCTGATGTAAACATGTATTTTCTTACTTACCTTATTACTTAATCAACCATAGTATGGTTTACAAAGAAGGGATCCCTTTATATAGCATGCTCTCGTCTTAGATATGCATGTTAAACTTGCATCAACTTATTGCAAGAGCAGTACCCTGTCAATAAAATTTCTCTCTGAGATGATGCTACATCATCCTAAATCTTATAGAAATTGAGCAAACATTTGGACCAGATTACACAGACATGGTGTCATCTGCATTTCAGAGACTCAATATTTTTATACTAGACCATGTTAAAAGGCATGGCAATTCTTTGAATGAACCGGTCTAATTGAGTCTCAAAGAGCCATAGTAACGCTGGTAGAAACCTTTGCCCATGGTTTTCTGATCCTTACTACATATCTGACCAAACCTCAAACCCAACACACAGGGATTCTACAGTTGTGGTCACAAGGAATAAAATCTCAGCATCCCCATACATTCCGATCCCTATACAACTATTTTGTAGATTTTCACATATAACGTGAGACATATTAGTCATAATAGGGAGTATTTCCTAATAGATGAATCTACAGAGAATCATAAAACATATTCAGCAGGTAATTCACTGGATCATTTAAAGGAAAATTTAGCTTACAGGACAAAATGAAGCATGTGTTGGACCACTGAAAATGTAGATGTGGCTCTCTAATTTACAACAAAAAATATTTTTACAGTATGGATCCTCTACAACAAACACACAGGGCAAGGAAAGTGTGGTGGTTGGTGTTTTATACAGTTAATCCCATATGGGGACTTACCTTTCAAATACTAATAATGTGACTTTTGTCCCAGAATGAAAATACAGGGCTCATCATGCATACAACATAACACAACCAGACTATCTCACTCTCATAAAAAATGTAGTGGGCTTATGGTATAGACATAACAATCATACCAGGCAAATGGATCCCATGTGAAATACATAACAATAAAACAGAATGACAAACTTATACTTTATGAAATAGGAGACTGGAGAAATAGGAAGAGAGAGAATAGTAAATAGGATTAGGGTGCTTTACCCTTGTCCCTTATCTACTCTAAACCCTCCCAACCATATCTAACTATCAACATATATAAAGGATATATGCTGGAAAACAGACTTAGCTAACCAACTTCTGATGTCTCATACGGTGAGTCTACTCCTCAGCTACAACATAGGACCCCGAAGATACTCCTCAGCTACTACTGTAGGACACAGAGGATACTCCTCAGCTACTACTGAAGGACCCCGAGGAGGCTTCCCCTAAAATAAACGGGGGATATTGCTCCTCTGAAGAGACTTCACCTGACCACAGTATGCCGACTGCCACAGAAGACACCTAAGCCGGGTTGTCCCTGCACTCACCTCACTCTAAAGTCAGCACCGAAGAGAGACGTAGCTAGGAGTTAAGTCACAAAAGACAAAAGTCATCGTATACTCACCAACTTTTCTCTGTCGGGTCTGGACGAAAGCCCCCATTTAGTGAGGAATTTTCTCCATCAGGAATTTCCCCTTGCCATGGTCTTTTGTATCAATTTGCAACTCTGTATTTCTCCTCAACCTCAAACAAGCTGGTGAGGATCCCCAATGAACGACATAAGACAATGCAAGGTACAAAGTGACTTCTGACGTTTAATAGGCTGTGTAACAGGTTATATACAGCAGAAAACAGGGGTGGTCTTTACAAGCATTATCCAATCTCTTATAAAATCAGTTATCTTATCTTAACATCTTAACCTATAGCAAGCTTGCAGGTGTATCTTCATGTTCGGGCCTTGCTTAAAGCTAAGTTTCACTATAACTACGCACTTAGAATTAATATGCATACACACTTAGAATTAAAGATATTTACTACGCAGTTCTAAATTACACATTACTATGCAGTTATGATCAAAAGGAGAAACACAGGAAATAACGCCAACACCAGAAACATACAGGATTAAATTTGACACCTGCCCTTCAGCCTTTCAAAACACGCCATTAAATCGCTGAACACCGAACTCCAACCCGAACATACAGTGATATGTCCGTGTTCGGATCCGGAGTCCAAAAAACGTAATGTTTGGTATGAACCCGAACTTTACAGTCCGGGTTCGCTAAACTCTATACAGGATATAACACTAACACTTGTTACTCGATTTTCTATAGCTCTGTCTAGGGTTATATTCACTAAGCATTGGATATAGATAAAGTATATTATTTCAAATAGCTGACATGTTCCAAGTTAGCCAATTTTAATCAGACTGAACATCCTGTCATCTGTAGCTCGAGCCTTGGGTCAATATAGGCAAAGTGAATTATTCCCATCATCACCTCTTATATCAGTATTTATTAAAGGTTATGTTTTATTGATATTTTTATATATATTTTTTATTTGCATTTTTGTTCAGTCATATACTAACTGAACTAGGTTTCTTTCCACTCACACCTATATCATTACTTATGTATTGTTTTCATTATTATTTTTTTGATACTCAGTAACCCTCCTATTCTTCTCTTTTTGTGCTATTATTTCATGAGGTTTTAGACACCAGAGTATGTAATTTAATAGTGTACATTGCAATGAATTGGGATCCTTATTCGCATATGGTTTTTACCAGCAATCTTTGCTATTTTAGGAGGACTAAATATAAATTTGAAAGTAGCCAAGTAGCTAGGATAATCAAACATAATCAAATCATCCCATTCCCATAAAGGCTTGATCCATTCCAGAGATTCCATCTAACAGGTTCATGATAAAACCAATGTTGGCTCTATCAGATGGAAAGGTCCGTGGCAACATTTCAAAGTGCACCTCTTCCTGATTAAGGAATCCTCTACATAGTCTAGTGTCTCCATTGTAACATGGATGTAAACTAACGTGCATGGTAGCCCTAGGTTTAGGGGTCATGGATTGGGAGGTAACTTGAGTCGTCACCTGAAAAACCAAGCGTCTCAGGCTGGAGACAAGCTGTGCTGGTAAGTATGGTTTGCAGCAACTGTGCAAATTGATCCTTCCTGTGATTGATGCCTTCAATACATGCTTCACAAGAAGCAATATGCTGTCCTAGGTTTGCAGGGTCCATGGCCCTGTTGTAATTTCAGGATTGGCCTGACCCTAACACACAGAGATTTGTAGAACCAAGCCAAGGTCAGGGTTACAGTGATGAAGAATGGTCAGACAATCCAGGGTCAAAAAACAGAATAACAATTCCTTTAAAGGGAATGCACAAGTCTAATGGGTTGTGCAAGCTGGTAATGTAAACTGTTAGACTTGTCTTTCTTGAATTGCAAGTTTAGAGATTTCCATCAAAAGCTATTGTGTCACTAATGCTTATTTTCATGATGACATACATAAATAAAACACGTGTAGTATATTCCTAACGACTTATTTTTTTCCCAAGAAAAATGTCATAATGGCTGTCTTGATTTCTTTGTTCCTTAGACTGTATATTACTGGATTCAACAAAGGGTTAACAACAGTGTACATAAGGGATACAATCTTATTAAT